CCTCTGCAGTAGACAGAGCTCCACCTCTGGGCCGCCTAGAGGGGTTTGTTGTTGTTTGCTGGGTGAACCCCACAGTGGGAGGTGGACTATCTCCCCCCAAAATGAAACCCTATGCAACTCAGGCTGCCCCCCAGGCCCAGCCCCATCGCTGGAGGGGAGCCCACACCTTCCTGTCTGTGGAGCTGTTTAAGGAAAGGAACAGGGAGAGAAGCGTGAGCACACAGACAGACACCACCCACGTGGCTCTAGAAAGCGGATGGTGGCGGACGTTGAGGGAGAACGGAAGACCATAGGGCCTGCCAAAGGCCAAGACTCCAGCCCTTTCCCGAAACACGCCTGCCCCTCGGAAGCACTCCGTGTGGGCCTCCCTCAGTGGCACACAGCTTCACGTGGGGACCCTCCTGACGCAGTGCGGAGGCCTGGACCCGGTTTCCGCAGAAGCCAACGACTTGACTCCACTCCATTTCCCGTTCCAGTGGACGGTCACTGCAGGATGCTCCGAGTCCCCAGGCCACACACACCTTTGACTCTAAGCAGAGGAAAGGCCATCCAGCTGGACAGGGCGGGCTGGACGCCCAGGCACGGGTCCCACCCAGCCCCGCCTCCTGCCGCCCGGCTCCTCTGCCAGAGTGAGTGGGCGGCCAAATGATGCCCGCGCGCGTTTTATCTCAATAGCAGAGGGTGTAAGCAACGCTTTTAAATTAATTGCTGTTCCTATAGCTAAACACATAACAGGCTTTGATTACATGCTAACAAGAATGAAACATAATCCTGAATTAATTACGTGGAGATAATTTTATAATTCTATCAGCAATTTAAGAAGCAATGCGTGGCTAACCTCCCATTTAATAGGAGTGATGATTCAAAATTAAAATGGTCCTAAATGTGTGGCCCTTTAAAAAGACTGAACAGGCTGTCTCTTCATTTCCCCCCAAAGGGCCCTGGTCCTCTACCTGAGGGGCTCCTCCCACCTGCTCTCAGATGCTGGAAGCCCACCCGCATTCTCCTCTGCCCAGCGTGTAAATGGAAGTAATACCCGAGCTCCCCAGAGCCCCAGGGAGAAAAGCAGGGTCTCTGAGGCACTCAGCCAGGTGTGGATGGAGCCTGGGGCCAGGGCCTGGCAGAAGGTCAAAGCCCAGCGGCCCCTGCAGGTAGCCCGTTTCCTCTCCTGAAC